ATCTTTATTTTGTAATATGGAAATATTTTTATTTTTGTTTTTTTTAATTCTACAACTTTTTGATTTATTTTATTTTAATTTTCTTTTATTTTTATATATTTTTTAAATTATCTATTTGCTGTTAACGCTTGGGCATTACTAATTTGCCGAGTTCAGCATGCTTTTTTTTAGTCTGTCCAACACCATTATGCTTAAGCTGCATTTGTTTTCATGTTGTCCCTACCACTTCTTCTTCCTCTGCTTGTTTGTTAAGCAAGATGTCAATAAACTCGAATTGTACAAAAATATGCTAATAAATAGTTGGTGGGGAGGCTCACAATTATGAAAGACAGTAAGAACAAAAACAAAATAAAAAATAACTACAACAAAAAAAAAATATGTTCTTATGAGAAGTAACGCTATTTTAAAAGCCAAGCTTTGACAAATATGCGTAAATAAATAAGTATATTTGCATGTATGCGTGTACCATACAAACAAACAGCGCATTGGGAATTGAAAAGCAGCTGGGAAGTGAATGATAAAAAACTAAAATCAAATAAAAATTAAAAAAAAAACAATAGGAAATTGGTAAGTGGTAAAAAGTAATTCATTTGAGCTTTGGAATGGGGTCGCACGCGTTTTATTCTTCTTTGTTTAAAGCAATGAATGATTGTTATATTATATATGTATGTATTATGCTTGTATGTATATGAATCGATTTAGCCTTATCCATCTGTCTGTATATTTGGAGATATTGATCTTAATTTTCTCACACGTATTTTTCTTTCCGAAAAGCTGCTCTTTTGTCGAAATCGCCGATATCGGACAACTACAGCTTATGGTTGCCATACAAACTGAACGTTCCGAATCAAATGCTTGTATAAAAACTTTTTCATTTTACGAGATATCTTCAAGAAATTTGGCATAAATAAATTTCTGAGGCATTAGTGCAATCTCCAAAGAAACTGTTCAGATCGGATCAATATAGCATATAGCTGCCATACAAACTGAACTTTCCGAATCAAATGCTTGTATAAAAACTTTTTCATTTTACGAGATATCTTCAAGAAATTTGGCATGAATAAATTTCTGAGGCATTAGTGCAATCTCCAAAGAAATTGTTCAGATCGGATTAATATAGCATATATCTGACATGCAAACTGAGCGATCAAAATCAAAATTTCAGTTAATGCCAATTTTTTTTTTTTTAACGCTTGCTTTGATGACTTATGTTTAAATTTGATAAAACAGCAAACAATATTTCCTACCCAGAACTTGGCATAACTAAATTTTAAGTTTCAACTGGAAAAACGCGTTGAAAAGTAACTTACACTATACTTACACTATATTTTTGATCTCATTGTGGAGTTGCTGCTGAATAGCTAGCAACAACTACCAATGAAACAACGTAATACGGAAAGCAGTTTTGTCCCTCCAATTTGGTTTACAATTCTACATTGAGAGTTTTTCATAATTTCCAGCCCAAAGCTCGTACGACAACTGCTTGATACCATTCCAAAACTATTTCGAATTCAATAGCGACGCAAAAATAGTATTCTATTTGAAAAATTAGCAATTTATGCATTTGCTTTGGCCAGCATATAGCGTAAACTAAATGTCATACTTTCCTTCCTGTTAATTAACATACAAGCGATAGCTTTAACTGTCTTGCTGCTCCTCCACCTTCTAATGCTACAACTTTGCGGATCTTTACAAACATACATACATGTGTTTGTACATATATCGTGCATATATACAAACACTCGTACGTTCTCATGCATTACTCACTCCCCATTGTCCAGCTCGAGTTGGCTGACCTCTTGCATACATAAAGTGGAGTAGTAGTAAAATATTTTAAGACCAATATAAACTGACTTCTAGTCGTCGTCTAGTGACTTTTGCCGTTCTGCCTTTTCTTATGTTTGTAATTTTATTTTTGTTTTTAATTTGTCTCCTCCCTCTTCCACTTGCTTTTGGATTGTATGAGCAATGCTTTATGTTTTTTGAAATGCTCAGTGTTCAATTGTCGCTATTGTTGTTGTTGTAATCCCATTTACTACACTTTTTTATTATTTATGACAATTAAGTCTTTTATCTCTTGTAATTCATTGCAAATGCACAAAAATATTGTGTGCAAATTTCGTCATGCAAGTAATATGGCAAAAAAAAAGTGACCGTAAAAGGAAGTTAAAATAATATTTATCATAATTACATATTTATTGTCATATATGCATGAGCTTTACAAATAGCAGCGATAAAAAGAAATCATTACGCACACAATGCCCATTCGAATAACAACTTTTTTTTTGCTCTAAATTTATGTTCCAACAGCAATCGAAATATAAGCGAATTGTTGCTCCCATATTAACAGGGGCATTTAGCTAATACTCGTTTTAAAATAGACAAAGCTTTATAGCCATCAATGTAAATGCGTAAGAGACTTAGGACTCAATTGAATGCGATAACTGCTTGATTCAATCTTATATTTTTATAACGCAAATAAATACAAGTATACCCATATGTATGTACATTAGAGCGGGCCGATTTTTTTACTATAAAATCGCATGTGTCGGAAATGTGCTACGGATTCAAATGTACATATGTACATATTGTCACCTAAAATGCAAAATAACGTAACATCACTTTGCAGAAGTGCACAAGTGAAGGAAAAACGTTGTAATAGAAACTATTCAAATTGAAACAAAATTTGAGTTTTGGTTATAAAATGGTTAGATGTTGGTTATATGTTGGTTATATATTGGTTATTTATGGCTTATATATTGGTTATATATTGGTTATTTATTGCTTATATATCGGTTATACTGGACAGCGGTAGCTTAAAATGTTATGATACATACATATATACAATGTGATGTAGTAAATCGTAAGCAATAAAAAACTCAATTTCAAATTTTTGGTTGATACATTTTTTAACATTTTAGGTGACGCTATACTTATATTTCGAATTTTTGTGTGTCATCAAGAACCTGCAAACAAGAATATTGAATTTTTAAATCGTTTTTGAAATACCCTTATATGCGCAATGAAAATGTTCTTAAAGTATACTATTGCTGTTGTTATGAATAGTTGAAAGGAAGGTTATATCTTTTCAAATCGATAACTCAGCTCCAGCAATCTATCTTTAAGGGAATATTCTATTAAAGAATTAAAAAAATAAATTTTTTTTATATTTCGAGTGGTTATACCTTTAAAAGAAAGATACTAAACTTTCAAATTGGTATTAAAAAAAATTTCTTGTGTTACTTTGTTCAAACTGGTGCGGCCCGAACTGAAACTTTAAACGCATTTCTCTCGAAACTGTTTTTTCTGTAATTTCAATAAATAACTAAAAGAAAAATTGTTGTAAGAATATTGTATTGTATTCGACTACTCAGAAGTTACATGGAATTCATGCCTCTAGACTAGAATACCCTCTTAAACACGTTTTTGCCGAAACAGCATTTTTTCAAATTTTCTCGAGTGGCTATTCGGTGACACATGAAGATGCCGATCACTATCAATTTTTGTTTTCTGCATAATCCATTTATATAGTTTTCTAAACAATGACCTACCAGTATTTTGATCCAGTCATCAAATCAAATTTTGGCAGGCCAAAAACGAGCAATATTTTGGGTAAAATTCAACATTTTTCGAACGCCGCCATTTTGTTAGGTTTCAACAAGCACGAAAGCCGACAGTGGATAACCTTGCTTGTTTGAGCGCCGTCGAAGATCGCCTCGAAAAGTTTTTAATTTTTACTTCAAAAAATTTTCCAGTGTATACTGAAATATTTCTAAAAATTCGCTTAAACTTTACAGTGCATACTGAAAATATTTTTAAAAATTCGCTTAAAATTTTAAAATATTTGATATTTTTTTAAAAATCGAAAATTGCAAGTTTTTTTTAAGTTTTCACACAAGTTATGGCACACAACAGCTTTAAAAACACAAAAACACTTATCAATAGTTTTTCCTGCCTGCTACGCAAATATTTAGTCTAAATTAAAGTCCAAAATATTTTTATTTTTTTTAATTTCATATAAAATTGTTATTAATGCTCACTTTTTCTTCTTAAATTTCAGATGAAAATAATCCTTAGGTGCTAATTTAGTGAATAAGAAAATTTTAAGTACAATAAAAAAGTTATCAACCGCAACAGCAACAACAACAACCACAAAACAACTAGTATAACTCAAAGGAATAAAGCGAGAAACCACGGAACCAGAAAGTACTAAATCAAAAATATAAATAAAAACAAAAAAAAAAAACAAGAAAAAAGTTTTTAATTAGAAATCAAATAAATTCAAAGCTCTCTTCTTCGTTACGAGAAGCGGCGTAGTGAGAAAAGGTGATTAAAGCAAGCGGAAATAGTAAGACTAAGCAAATAAACTGCCAGAGAAATGCGCATTGAACAGCAACACAACTACAAAAACAAAAACAAAACAAATTGAGCACTAAACGAAAAAAGTAGAAAGCTAAACGTCGATGAGTACGTACAATAAGCCAACAAAGCCAAAATTAATGAAGGAGAAACGAAGCGAAAACGCAGAGCACATAACTTGGGAAAAGTGAATATCACGTTTAAAAAACCTAAATAGTCTTACAGATATACTATATTTTTATAAGTAAAGAGTTTCTAAAACTAAGCAGAATAAAAAAAGCAACAATTTTACAAGAAAAGAGCGAAGTAAAATTTTAGTTTAAAGTTAATGCACAGTTGCAGCCGTAAGTCCACAGCAGCAGCGCTGAGAATCCGCAAGCAAGTTCAACAATCAACACGTAATCGTAATCCAGTAAACGCGGTTTCGCGAGAGCAAGCAACAACGCAAACGGTTTCCACGCAACAACACATACACACACACCGGCGTTTCTGCTTATTTATTAGTCGCTGACAGACACAGAGCGGCCGGCACCTAGGACAGACAGACGCTCACACGCGAACCGCGCAAAGATGCCCAAATATTTCATAGCTACGGCGGCAACAACAGCGGCAGCAACAACAGCAGCAAATACGGCCTACAACAATAATAACGGCGGCAGTAGCAACAACAGCAATAATGGTACATCGCAAATGGTTATTAAATCAGCGGTGCGGCAACTGTCCTACGACGTGGTCAGCACCAGTGGCAAGAACACAACGAAACGGAATTCCAATACGGCATTTGTGACAACGTCATCCTCCGGCTCGTCATCGCCCGTATCGATTATGATGCAAGGCGGTGAGCACCATCAGCGGCAGCTAAAGACACAAGTGATTAGCAGTGCAGCGTCGGCGCCGACAGGCACGCATCTGCTGGATCATGGCTATGGTGTGACGATGAAGCTACAACCATCGACATCGGCGTCGACATCAACATCAACGGCAGCGGGCACAGCGGCGGCGGCGGCGGCGGCGGCGGCGGTGACGACGACGACGACGACGGCGACGGCAACGGCGTCATCTCATTTCACCGGAAAGTACACGTCGACGGTGGCGACCAGAAATCCCTCTGATTCCACACCACACATAACGGAGTACTATAAAGTGAGTGTGTGCGCCTTATATGGCCCACATACATTCATATATACATGCAGTATACATATGTAGATAGTATATTAATTTACTTATGAATGTTATTTATTTTTCCGTTTCATGTGTTGCAGCAAGTGAAACGACGTAATCCCACACCTGTGTCCGAACAAAGCAGCCACCCCAAGAAACAAGCCAAACATCAATATGCGTCCGATGATTTTTCCAGCAATGTGGTGGTGGTACAACAACAACCGCCACGCTCACAACAATACCAACATAAATCCACCAAACAACAAGTGTTGGTGCGCACTAGTTCACAAACACAGCGCGTTGCATTGTCAGCGCCTGGCTCAATGTTACAGTTCGCTGCGCCCTCACCGCAACCACAACGCCCGCCATCGTCTGCCTCATCGACTTCGTCGTCAATTGCATATAAATCGGGCACACCCTCATCCGCCTCTTCATTACCCGCCTCGAAGCGCACACCTGAAGGCAATCGTGCCGACACCTCACTTGGTATATTAACGAAAAAATTCGTCGATTTACTGCAAGGCTCACCGGATGGCGTTGTTGACCTCAATGATGCGTCAACCAAATTGCTGGTGCAAAAGCGACGCATTTACGACATAACGAACGTGCTAGAGGGTATTGGCATACTGGAAAAGAAATCGAAAAACAACATACAATGGAAGTGTGGCAACTCACTGGTGAGTTCGGATCGTACGCGCGAAATGCAATTGGAGAATGAAAGACTCGAACAAAAAGAGAATCAGTTGAATATGCTGATCGATCAGATACGTGAGGAATTGAGTAGTGAGATTTCGAATAACAATCAATTGGCCTATGTGACGCATACCGATTTGAAGAGTGTCGATCTGTTTAAAGATCAGATAATAATTGTTATTAAAGCGCCACCAGAAGCCAAACTTGTGGTAAGTATCTGTAAATAACTTATAATAGGGTATATTATGTTTATCATAGGAAATGTTCAAGACCCTATGAAGATTATATATTATTATATGATATACGATCCGTTTGTCCATTTCCATTTGTCTATCCGTCTGTATATACACGATCCAACGTCTCAATTTTTGAGATATCAGTCTAAAGTTGTGCACACCTCCTTTACTCCTCAAAGTGCTGCTCATATGTTGCAAACGACGATATCGGAATAATATAGCATATAGCTGTCATACAAACTATTGAATCAAAATCAAGTTTTTGTATGGAAAACTTTCTTAATTTACAAGATATCTTCATGAAATTTAGCATGAATCATTGCCAAGGGCAACACTACAATCTCCTAAGGTTTTGTTGGGATCGGACTGCTATAGCATATAGCTGTCATACAAACTATTCAATTAAAATCAAGTCTTTGTATGGAAAACTTTCTTAATTTACAAGATATCTTCATGAAANGACTGCTATAGCATATAGCTGTCATACAAACTATTCAATTAAAATCAAGTCTTTGTATGGAAAACTTTCTTAATTTACAAGATATCTTCATGAAATTTAGCACAGTTTATTGTGCACAACAGCCCTGCAATCTCTAAAGAAATTGTTCAGATCAGACTGCTATAGCATATAGCTGTCATACAAACTATTCAATCAAAATCAGGTCTTTGTATAGCAAACTTTCTTATTTGAACAAATATCTTCATGAAATTTAGCACAGTTTATTGTGCACAACAGCCCTGCAATCTCTAAAGAAATTGTTCAGATCAGACTGCTATTGCATATAGCTGTCATACAAACTATTCAATCAAATTTAAGTCTTTGTATGGAAAACTTTCTTATTTGAACAAATATCTTCATTTAATTTTGTATGGATGAAGGTAACACTGCAATCTCTCAAGATATTGTTCAGATCGCACTACTATAGTAGCATATAGCTGCAGTACAAACCGTTCGTTCTATATCAAGTTTAAAATATTTTTATCGCCTTTTGAGTTGCAAGAAATATTTTTCTTTAAGAAATGCAACTATAAAAGGTTATATAGCTACATTGCAATCGAAATTAATTTTCTTGTTTTTTTTTTGTTTTCTTGTTTTTTTTACTAACTATTAAAAGTTACTTATACGCCCAGTGCGCCGCATAAAATTGTTTTAGTTAACTGATTAATGTGAAAGTGTTTCGATACGAGTGTATATTCTACACCGCTAATTAAAATTTAACTACTTATATCTAACTGTTAATGGTGTCAAACGTCAAATTGTAGCATATTATGTACATTATAGTATATGTAAGAGTTATTAGTTACTCATACGCCCTGGTGGCACTGAAGTTTTTATTAACAATTTCTGTTGCAAGCAATTTTTATTTATTTATCTTGCCAAATTCATATTAAAATTAAAACATATTAACTGGTGAATTTGATATTGCCTGAATAGCGTGGATTTTTTCATTATCTATTACCAGATTGTGCTGCGGTTGGCTGCAATACATATTGAAATTGGCAAAAAAAAAACAAAAACGTCCATACTTGAAAGAGAAACTCTATCGTTAATTAATGCAGGCATTTCTAAAACAAAGTGAGCGCATCACATTTCATTTCGCTGCACGACATTACTGTCTGCATACCTTTCGCTGGTTCGGTTGTGCTATTTATAGCAGTTTTAATATTAAAAGACGACAAAAAAATTGTATGAGACCAAAAATCAATTTAAAATTCTTTTCGTTTAGCAAACCATATTATACACGTATAAATATTATCGGAGTTTACAATTTATTGTTATATGCGAAGTGAAAGTTTTCGCTGATTAAAAGGCTGCACCAACCGAACACCGCATACAAAGTTTAAATGTCAAAATATTTACAAAATTTAAACGTCAAAATATTTCGTAAGACACTAGTGCATTTAGCATGTATATACATATGTAGCAATAGCATAGCAATTTGTTGCAGCAGCATAGCCGGAAACTCATGGCACACACGCGTTGTTGCAACATAGAATAGGCAATAGATAGAAATGGCGGCCAAAAGTACAAGTAGCAACACAAATAAAATGAAATAATGACAACGCAAACGAACAGCGTCTCCTGCCGGCAAGCGCGTGTTAGCCGTTTTAGCGCAAATACGAAACACAGCATATCATTTCTAAAAATATACCAACACGTTGTTATCCACACACACAGCAGTCTATGCAAATAAATATGCTGTGATTGTAGCATTTCGTCTCTAATATGCCAATTTACGGTTTTCAAATGTACATAGTACAGGAATATTACTGCGTCTCGCAACTTTACGCATAGTCACATAATGAAAATTTTTTATTTAAAAATATTTGAATTTTGTTTAAAAATATTTGAAAAATTTTCTATAAAAATTTTATGAATTAATTTATATGAGCATCCCCTCTAATTGCTACGCCACTGTCGATACACGTCGCTTGTCGAACGCAGATCGTTCAGATCGGCCTTTTATTCGGCTAAAATTATAAGCGAAATGCGTAACGAATGTATAACGAAATGTTTATACGTTAATATGTGTGGGTATGTGTATGCGTATGTGCCAAACCAGACAGTCAATATAATCTTAGGGAACAGCAGCAAATGTCCGCATTCATTTAGACGTTGGCAGTGTACTAAATTTCGCGCGTGTAGACTCGAAATAGTCGCCAACTATTTTCGTGCCCATCATTTTGTTGCGAACTGCGGTATGTTAAGTAAATCACTGGAAATAGCTACGCTGTTCAATAGAAAATATTTGTTATTTCGTGAAATAAAATTATAAATTGTATTACTAACATTTTGTACGTGCCCAGCATTGCCAATATATTTATTGATTGTTCACACTTCGTTTTTTACAGTTACCTGACACACTTTGTCCACGTGAAATCTACGTTAAGGCCGAGAATAATGGCGAGATTAACGTATTCCTGTGTCACGACAATTCACCCGAAAATTCGCCAACATTCTCATCGCCCGCCGCCCCGCCATACCGCCAGCAACCGCATCAATTCAACGATCCGCTTTTCAATGATATCAGCCGATTGACACCAAGTCTTGATGACGACAAGCGCATGCGACTTGGTAACTTCACTATTATACATAATCACAAATTAATTGAATTAATTTTTTTTTTTTTTTTCTGAATTTTCCACAGGTCTACCCCCACTCTCAGCGTCAAACGCTACGACTACCACGTCCACGGGCAATACATATCCCGACAGTGCCGCACCCATCGTACGCTCAGCACAACGAAATCTCAATAAATCGATTGAGGATGCTGCACGTCAAATCGCTGCTGGTGCGGCCAATGGTGCTGGTGTCGATGGTGCAACCGATTATAATTGTGATATCGTTGGCAATTACCATACACAGCAACAGTCCAGCAGCAGCAGCCATTCTGTTACGCATGATGGCAACGACTACACCATACAACCGACTCTGACGCGGCCGGTATTGACGCAAGCCGAAGCTGAACGCATTTACGAGCAAGATTTCGATTGTGAAATGTTTGGCAAACGTAAAGTGAACGCGGCGTACGGTGTTGCCGGTAGTCAAAGACAACAACAGCAACAGCAACAGAATAGTGATTCATCAAACCACAATACGCTTAATAGTTGTAGTAACAATAGGAAGGCAGGTCTTAAAAACGATGTATCCATGGTGAATAGTGCAATTGAGGAGCATAAAACAGCCGTTGAAGCAGCAGCGGCTGCAGCAGCGACATCAGTTACTGCTGTAACGGCGGCAAACACAACAGTTATGGGCACTACAGAAACGCTGGCGACATCGGCTGTAAATAATAGACGGGAAGCTGGCGACGACGAAGCTGCGGCAGTGACAACGTCAGTGGTGTCGTCGTCATCATCAATGGCTATTACGCATAATACAACAACCTCAATGTTTGGTGGTGCCGGTAGTGCAGTGAACGCCAGCCGGCATTCCTCCAGCGATAGCGGCGATATCAGCCGCTTGGACTCACATTTGGCGCACATGGTCGATTCGAATGGCGGTACAGGCGTCCGGAACGCACTCATTTCGAATTCATTGAACCTGCTGAGTCCACCGCCATTGTCAGGCGTGCAGAACTGTAAGCAAAAGTTCCTAACTTTCATAGCCTTAGTTTGCCATGTAGTTGTAGCTTGCTTTTATTTTCTAAGTTGTAACTGTTTACCTAACGCCTTTTTTACCGCTTTTGCGTTTCACTTGCGCACAAAGTTTACAACAAAGCACACGAATTTTCAGAAAATGCCAAATCATGCGATTGTTGCGTGTAATGTGGTTAGCTTTTTTTTATATTTTTTAAATAAAATTTAATTTTTTTTTTTTAATTTACTATCACTTACACATACATACTAACACGCTGTATATACTGAAATTTTAATTAGTTTTTATATGGCATATAAGTAAATATATGTTGCCGAAAATTTATATTTGGTTGGGGTCTAACCTCTCGCTCACAGTATTACATCAAACTCGCCTGCATACATAACTGTAACCAGCGTCATTCATCATTTTCGAAGTGAAAAACTCTTGACGGGAGCTCTGGCTGTGATTTGCGTTTCACAATCAAATTTCATTTCGCATCACAGTCTGAGTTCTTGCTGAGCGCTTTTCAAAGTTCAACAACGAGCCGGAAATTTGCGTTCCAACGATTGAGAAATGCAATACGAAAAAGGAGTTACCACGCTTGACAGTAACAAAAATAAAAAACGTGAAAAAATTGCCTTAATTTTTATAAACAATAATAAATTAACAACTACAATAATTGAAATATAACTGCAAAAGCATACACATAGCGTAATTACATGAAAGCGGAAAATTTCGTGCTTCGCTGTACTTGATAACCACATTTCAAGCTACTCGCAAACATACTTAGATATACAACAAAATATCACATAAACCATTAGCACTCACAATATTTTTGTACATAATCATACACACACATACATACGTACATTAATAAATTTGGATTAAAACACTATAAGGGGTTATATACAGTTGGTAGGGCGAAAAAACCGAATTTTCCAAAAAAAAAATTTGACAAAACCTTTCAATTCATTGCAGCAAAAATTTGTACACCTATTCTGGTAACTTTTAACTGTATTTTAAAACTTAAAATACTTAAAAATATTTATTTGGAAAGAAACTACTGCTGATTACCGGGAGCTCCCCTCCAAAAAGATGTTTTGTGGTGACCCCTATATCTCTGAACTGAATACTCTGTATATTTTTTGAAGCATTTTTCGTTAAAGTAATGTTTAATCTAGCAGTTAATCGAAGGTATAAGAAAAAAATTTAATGTTTTGACAAAATGGCGGTTTCTCAAAAAAAAAAAAAAATTGATTTTTCGCCAAATTTCGGTCTTAAATTGTTTATAAAAAAATTTTAATCAGCGAGAAAAGAACTTCGTTTAATTACTAAAAAATATATTTAAAAAGCTCGTGCTAAAATTTGAGACTAATCGGTTTAACGGTTTTCGAGTAATGTTGGTCACAGACTTTGAAAACACCATTTTGAGCAAAACTCGTTTAATGTTTGGTCTTGAAAATCGAAATTACGTTTTATTGATTAAAATTCACTATAATATAACGCAGATGTATATACATATATCGACAAAATTTTTAATTTCTGCCAATCATGTAAATATAAGCAAATTTCGATTTTTTTGTTGCAATAAGCAGACTTTCTTCTGCTGAAAACTCGTGAAAAGGGATTTTACGTTAGTTTACATTTTAGGGGGCGATTTACATATATGTGTGTAAGGAAAAATTTAGTTTTTATTGATTTTTTTGTTTATTATTTAGCTACATTTTATGATTTACTATATGTATAATTTTATTTTTCTTTCATTATAAATTTGAACTTTTTTTAAAAGCACACCACGAGAATTCAGTTCTCAATTTGAAATATCGTTATACAAATGCATAGATTACAATCAGCTCGCAGAAATATTAAGTGGGAAGTCTGCAAAAGCATAAATAAAACGATGAACTCGATAATTATTTTTTATTATAAGCAAAACTTAGCTGTTGGCTGGCTACAACTGCACAACATCAATATCAATTAGCCAAACAACTAACAGCTGCAGTTTAGGCAAAAATATTTCGAAACAAAACCGTTCGGATTTTGTATACAACTTTTGGCTAATAAATTAGGCTCTGGCACTTAAGCAGACACACTCCTGCGTATACATTTTTTTTTTTCAAATTTATGTCTCAAAAACGTACAAAGCTTGGCTGCACTTTCATATAGTTTTGCTTGACTCTTAAATTTTGGTTTACTATGTTTTCACGATTTCCGCCTTTTCCGGTTAAAAAAAAAGTATTAAATTTATGCACACATTTGTTTTGTTTCGTACTTTTATTTAAAAAATGCAATGTGCGCGTTTTTAATTTTTAATTAATTTAATTTTATTTTTTATATGCAAATTACACGTCTTGACCGTTGAAATATATATACACATATATGACAAATCTCTAAAATTATGTATAAAAAACAATAAAAAATTTATCGTTACCGAATTTCGCTACTGGATCGTCCGGCATATAAGTGCTAAACTGTCTTAAAATGTCAAAAATTAATTGTTTTTCAAAAAATCGACAAGTTACAAGCTTATAATTAAATAAATAATTATAATCAACAAAAATGTAATTGAGGAAAATTTGTAAAAATTCATTTTGGGACTGAATTCTCGTGGTTCTGCATTGCATACCATGACGAGGTAAACGTATTGTAATTGAAATTTTGTAGCACCATGAGATTCAGCTCTAGCGTGAATTTCAAAACGTTTATATGGTCGCTTTCACTAATAAATACAAAAAAAAATTTATATATATGTAAATATACATATGTAGGCGTTTCTAAATGGTGTTTAAATATGAAAATTATGAAATACACTATTTTTTAACTTAAACATTGCTATTTATATTTAAAAGGGGAATATTTGACTTTTTTGTATTTGAAAGCAAAAAAGAATTAATATAAACGATAATGCGAATTTTTTATTTGAATAATCAGAATTAAAAATTCAAAATTTATTTAATTTTCTGAAACTCAGAATTAAAAACTGATAAACTATTTCTAATTTTAAAAAGGGGCGTAACAACTTAAAGTATTATTTTTCAAATCAAAAGGTTGAATAAAAGGATTAAAAGTAAAAAAAAAGATTTATTGAAAAAATATAATTAAAAGTTATTAAAGTTATTTCTTTTACACAAGAAGTACTAAACTACTTTAAAATTTTAGAAAAATAAGCTTTTTTTTCAAAAATTACAAGTGTAATATTTTAAGACATTTTATAAAATAATAATTTAAATAAAGTACATTTTTTTTATTACTTTGGCAAGCCTTTCAGGGATCAATTTTTTGATTTTTAATTCGATGTTTTGGATGAAAAATTTGGTTTTTTTTTCAACTAAGATTTTA